GATAGTGAAATAGAAGCTGTAGTAAAAGAATTAGCGCGGCCACTGTTTTGTGCTGCAGGTCTTGATGGTAACAGAATAAAAGTTTTTGTTGTTAATGATAGTGTAATTAATGCTTTTGTAATGAATAACAATAGTGTTTTCATTAACTTAGGACTTTTGAGATATTCAACCAAACCTTATGTTTTACTTGGAATATTAGCACATGAGATAGCTCATATATCTGCTGGTCATGTGTTACAGATGAGTAATGTTATGGGATATTTTAAATCGATGGCAATAGCTAGTTGTGTACTTGGATTAGTTTCTGGTATTGCTCTTGACTCCCAGGTTGCTAATGCAGTTTTACTTGGTGGTGTAATGTTAAGTACGAGGTTATTTTTTAACTACTCTCAAGAACAGGAAAATATAGCTGATAGTTATGCTTTAAGGTACTTAGACGAATCTGGTTATGACAATACAGGTATGAAAGAAATTTTTAATTACTTTGGAAGTATTGAGCCTGGGAGTGCTGAACGGTATTTTCGCACTCATCCGCTGAGTGAGAAACGTTTATTTACTGTGCAAAATTATAAGGTTAAAAATCGTATAAAACAAATTCCCGTAGAGCAATTGTTAAAATTTGAACGTATGGTTATGAAGCTAGATGCTTTTTTTACCCCTATTCATGTACTATCTAGCAAGTATAAGGATGATTCGAGGTATATCAGTGCTATAATGTATTATAGGCAAGGAAGAATGGAGGAAGCAACTCAGCAAATTGATTTGTTAGCTCAGGATGACCCATATCTGTATGAATTAAAAGCGGAGGTGCTATATAAAGCTGGAAGATTGAGTGATGCTATAGAGAGCTATGAAAAATCACTTAAGTATTTATCTAATGATGATAGTTACTTAGTAAAACTTGCATTATCTCACACTTTATTATTATATGGTGATGTAAAAAAGGCCATTTTTTATTTGACACAAATTATAAGTGTAGAACCACATGATGTTTTAGTTTGGAAATATTTAAGTATTGCATATAAACATGATGCTGATATGGGAATGCACTATTTTGCATTAACAAAGAAGGCTTTTATTGAAGGTGATTTAAAGCAATTTGCGAAATGTTCTGAGTTAGCTATCAATACTTTACCAAAAGATAGTCTATATTTACTACAAGTGGAAGATATGAAGAAGTATGGAGTAAAATCAGAGTAATTTATCAAGGTCTAATGTGGTCAGAAAATTTTGTCCAATGCTAAAAAGGTATGAAGGTGAAGAGCTAAGTCTTGCGTTTTTTATATTCTTTCTTTAAAAGTAATACTTACGTATAGTGTTACCATATATGTTTAAAAGTATTTTTACATTTAGCTTTTTTACAGCTATCTCAAGAGTTTCAGGTTTGATAAGGGATGTATTAATTGCTACTATTATTGGTGCAACGTCTCTCGCTGATGTATTTTTTTCTTCATTCCGCCTTGCTAATTTATTCCGTGCATTTTTTGCTGAGGGAGCATTTACTACTTGTTTTATTCCATTATATTCAGCGGAATCTTATGACAGTAAAAGAGCATTTAATTTCGCAAGTAGCATAATATCCATAACATTTATTATCTTAGTAGTTTTCTGCTTTCTTATGCAAATTGCCTTTCCTTATACAGTTAGAGTATTTACTCCTGGTTTTGATCAAAGCAAGTTTGCTCTTACTGTTACTTTATCAAGAATTATTCTACCATACATAGTCTTTGTTTCAATAGCATCGTTAGTTGGAGGGATGTTGCAAGTAAGGCAGCATTTTGCTTCAACAGCTATTTCCCCAGTTATTTTAAATATTTGTTTAATTGTTAGCCTATTTGTACCTTATGTTGCAACACCGGCACATAATCTCTCTATAGCTGTATTAGTAGGTGGAATACTGCAATTATCGTTGATGTTGTTCAGTGCATATAAACTAAGGGCAAATTTTACTTTTAGCCTGAAATTAAGCAGTAAAGTAAAATTATTTTTTAGGCGTATAATACCTGCAATAATCAATAATTGTGTGACTCAAATAGGCGTATGGATTGATACGATCATGGCAAGTTTTCTACCAAATGCAGTGTCTTATATATATTATGCTGATAGATTAACACAACTGCCACAAGGAGTGATTGGCACTGCTATTGGTACAGTACTTCTTCCTTTGATTTCAAGACAAGCAGGTGATGCTGCAAATATAGCAAGAATACAAAATAAAGCTCTAAATGTGGGATTAATATTAATTATGCCAACGACTGCTGCTTTTATTATTATTCCTGATATCATTTTGCTTACACTTTTTGCTTACGGTGAATTCGATTACCATGCGGTGCAACAGACCGTTCCTACATTGATAGCATTTTCTCTTTCTTTACCTGCGTTTATTATAAACAAGGTATTGATGCCAGCATTTTTTGCTAAAGGTAATCTTAAAATACCAACTATATTTTCATTAATATGTCTTGGGATAAATATAGTGCTTAATCTTTTGTTAATGAATAAATATCAACATACAGGAATTGCGATTGCCACTTCTATTTCCACTTGGATAAATTCTATATTTCTAATTAACTATTTAAAAATAAATAGAATGTATAGAGTGAGTCAATTACTGTTATCAAATATTGTAAAAATACTTATAGCTACAGTAGTGATGTCAATAGTTCTATGTACTTTTCGCTTCTTATCAGCAGAGTTACTTTTTGATGATATGCTCACTCGTATTGTTTATTTAGCGATTCTAATAGCTTTGAGTATCACTGTGTATTTTGGTACTCTTTATTTGACCTTTATGAGAAATTTAAGTGATCTTAAACATATATAAATTATGAGATTTTCTATATACGCCATATTATCAATCTTGTTAGTGTTAGTGCTAACAAATGTAGCTGTGACTTTCAAAGATTGGAGTAGATATAAAGAATATATCACACAGAAGTTAGAGAAAGAATATGATGCTAAAATACATATTATGGGAAAAATTGAAGCTTCGTTTATTATGCCAAAGTTAACCATTCGCAATGTATATATACAGTATAATGGACATGAAGAGCAAAAACTATCAGACTTAGTTAGTGTGGGTCAAGTTGAAATAAGACCTTCATTTCTATCACTGTTTTTATTTTCACTTCAGCCAAAATCTATAACGTTGCTTGATATGAAGAGTAATAGACAAAATTTATTTAACATTGTAAATAAAAAATCTAGCAACAATATAATGAATATTCTAATAAAAGATAGTCATATAAGCGTAGAAGATGATTATATCAACATAAAAGAGATCAAGATAAAAAAGAATAAAAAATTTTCAGGTAAAGTAAAGATCAACGATAGCCATTATGACTTTTTAGGAAAAATCAATATTACAAAAAAAAGCATAGATGTTAATGTTGAGTCGAAGCTAATAAATTTACTATTTCAAGGTAGTAAGGAGCAGGAAAAAGTAAATGGCAACTTAGTACTAACTGTGAATAATAATTCGGATTCAATAAGTGATTTGGTGAAAGTTATCAACCTGGGTTTACTATCTCATCTTATTCCTAGTGAGAACATTAAGATATCATCCAATATAAATATGGATGACGCCGAGTTTATGATGACTGATCTCAAGGTTGAGTCAAATAGTATGCAAGCACATGGTGCAATACACAACGATAGGAAAAGTAACCATACTAATGTCAGTGTAAAATTTAGTAAGATTGATCTGGACTTTATACAAGATAATTCGCGAAAAAAAGTGGATGTGAAAGATCTATTAGAATGTTTTAAAAGAAGTATACCAGAGGACTTGAGCTTAGATTTTAATATAGATGCTTCTAATATTAATTATCAAAAAAAGATATTAGATAATTTTCGTGCTGCAGTGAAATTTGTAGATAGCAAAGCAACAGTCAATACGCTTCTTAAATTGCCAGGTATTAACAATATATTTTACCTATCAGGAGAAGTTTCTAGTAACAATGTGTTATCTGAATTTAATGGTAATCTTCAAGTTGAGGGAAATGATTTTGAATCGTTTATTTCATGTTTTTTTCCTTCTATAACGATAAATGAAGATAAGAAAAATCAATTTATTTTACATTCTAAAGTACATTTTGCACCTAGAGTACTGTCAATTTCAGATATAACATTACTCAATCATGAAGAATTTTTACAAGGATCAATAAAGGTAAGTTATACAAAAAAGCACAACATGATTGATGGAAGATTTAGTATACACAACCTAAATGCAGATAAATATAATTTTGGTAGTTTGTATAAAGTGCAATGGCTAAAGAAATTTAATCACGATGTAAATATAAAGATTAGCATAAATGATTTGATATTGAATGATAAGAAAATCAAAAGTTTAGATTTTTTATTGAATATAGAAAAAAATAGGTTGGTTGCTAATAGAATTCAAGTACATGGAGAGGGTTTTGATACTACTGGCAATGTTAGAATATTGATGGACCAAGGACATGTTAAACCTTTAGTGGATATTGATTTTATAGGAAAAAAATTTAATGGGAATATTATCAAATTACCTGATTTTATAGAAAAGACAAAGACTTCAAAAAATAAAATAACTCAGGTTCAATGGTCAACAAAAAGATTTGATTTTCTGAATAACATAGAAAATTTTGATGCAAATGTACGTATCAATACTGAAGCATTTACAATTAGACAGAGTAATTTAAAAGACTTTCACTTAGATGCATTAATAAGAAATAATACTATCACAGTAAGGCAAGTAAACTACGCACTAGAAGAGGGGAAAGTATCTTTTCAGGGTTATATGAGGTCAGATTCGATGTATACAAGATTTTTTATTTCAGAGTTAGAAGTTAGCAAGATGAGTAAAGCCGTAGGAATTAATAATGCAAGGGGTCAAGTAAGTTTAAGTGGTACAGTCAAAACTCATGGAAAAAGTCTTTATGATTGGGCTAATAACTACTTAGGGGAAGTAAAATTAGGAGCGCAGAAAGTAACATTTTCCAACATAGATTTGAATTCATTCATTACTAATTTACTGGGTAGTAAGAATAAATCTGAAGTTGTTACATTTGCTAATGTTGATATATATAAAGGCAGTACATCTTTTAGAAACCTTAAGGGAAAAGCAAGCATCAGTAATGGTATATGCTCAACAGGGTTACAGTTTCAAATTGACCGAGCATCTGGAGCGATTTCTGCTAACCTAAACTTATCTAATTTCAATGTAGATTCCATATTAAGGTTGTTTTTTATACCACCAAACCAGAGTAATTCAGTGTATATAGATATGCATTTAGATGGTCCTATTTGGAACCCTAAGGTGAGTTTTGAGATAGATAAAATATTTGCTACTTTTATAAAAGATAATACTTAGCTTATAAGGTTAATTATTATCTTTAATAGCTTAACGTTATATGCTTAAATTATATTAAAAAAACCCTCTATTATAACTTAATAAAGTTTATCATTTAGCGTAAAAAACACTATAATTGTTGAAGTTATGAGCTATGGGAGTAGTCACAGTATGGTTTTTATTTTTGTATTTGTGTTGCATAATATTTTAACTACTAAGAGTAATTTTTTATCTAATGTTTTAGAAGTTTTGTGTTATTATTAGGTGCGGATCTCGGTATTAAGTAATATGGTAAGTATTCAAAAGCAGATAACAGGGC